AAACAGGGAGGCAAATCAGGGTTGTGATATTTAGCCGCCTCTTCCTCTAAATCATCCCAATTTATATCCGATTGATTAGGCTTATTAATTTCCTCCTCCTTTTGAAGCATCTGTAAAATTGGGTATTTTTTTGGTTTGTTTTCGTGTGGTATTTCTTTATCTGTTACAGAAGGAGACTTGATTTCCTCATTATCACTTTCGAGGGAAATGAGATCTTCCTCCGTATCTTGCGGAGGCTTTGTGAGGTTAGAGCGGGAGCTAACCTTTAAAATATGCTCTGTCTGAGCGACCGCAGCCATGACTTGCGGATTGGCCTCCTTCTTATCTATTAAATCTCTAATGAGGTTCCAATAAGAGAAGGCAGTTACAGGAACTTTTCTGGCCCAAAAGTATTATAATAGTCCTGAAAACAATCCCCTACTCTACGCCATCTTTTAATATCAATAGTTCCTTCCTGTGGGAACCAAGGGCAAGTGTCTTTTACAAAATCAAAAAATTTAAACAAATCATTACCTTTAACCTTTACTCCTCGTATCTTTAAAGCCTCTTTTAATTGTCCTACATATATTTGATGTTGGCTTAATTCTTGTCCCATTTCGGACGCGTCACTTACCTTCGATTCTGATGCGGCAGGTTCCCGCAGTGATCGGAAGAGTTTGACTCCTTTTGTCTTTGTTAGCTGTCGACCGTCCTTTGGCGTCCTCTTCCTCACGGAGTCCCTCATTTCCAGGTCCCTGTTCGGGTGCCACGTATCCCGGCCCGCGGGATAGTCAGTGTAGGCCCTGGAGGAGGGGGTGGGAATTTGGGGAACAAGAGACACGAGAAATGGAGACAAGACAGTGCTCTGATCAAGTCTCGTTTAATGGCGGTAATGCACTGCCTTATATACACTTGGAAGGGAAGGGGTTGGGCTAAGGCGGAAATGATCTCATTGCCGAGGGCGTGGCCAGGTTAGTTTCGGTTTCTCTGGTCGGACGTCATGTTGCGCTTGCGCTATTAAGTAACAATTTTCCCGGGTGCGGGAAAAGTGAGTGAAGAAGCAGGAAGAGCGCCATCTTTAATGAGGTATTAGTACAGGGAAAAAAGGCAAAGATAGGGAGAAGGTGTGGGGTGGAAGTGAACACAGCTCAGGCGTTTAATCCTTAATTATTATTCGCTATGGCCGGGGCGTGCAGCTCCGGACAGTTTTCTTACATGCTTTGGAGATCACCCTGATAGTAGACTCCTATACATAATTAATTTGTATTTTATATTAACTCATGTTGGGAATATACAAAAATATAAGACCAATTGTATTTGACCTATTGTTACTCATTATCTAGGCATGAGTACCACAGGCATTTGATTAACTCATTATTCTAGCAAAACAAACTGGTTTATTGTGAGGCTGTAATCTCTAGTCATACTGACAGACTTAGAGCATTTAAATTGAAAATAAATCAGTCACCAAATCCTGTTGATTTTCCTCTTATATATCATTTTTGGCTACTAATCTTTCACTTCTTATCATCACTGTTCTAGCTCAGATTCTACCATCTCTCACCTAGATTATAACAGCTTCCTAAGTAATATTTTTGTCTTACTTTCTTCATTTTTTACACTGCAACCAAAGTGTTGCAGTGTAAAAATTTCCTCCCTGTTCAAATATGTAGTGTCAGATTACTGCTTTAAACCTTCAATGTCTTCTCATTGATCTTGTACTAAGATCAATGATTTTTCCTTCCTTCTAGATTTTTAAATCCTGCTCATAATAGCTTGCAAGTCTTGACTCTTTCTTGATTCTGTAACCATTATGTTATTATTTATTTACACTTTGACTTCTCCATTTAAATAACACTGAGTCTCTTTTCCTGAAATAAACCATGAACCTTATAGCTTCCAGGTTTTATTTTTATTTTTTTCCATAGGCCAGTCTTCACTCTAGAACAGTGGTTCTCAAAGTGTGGTCCCCAAACCAGCAGCATTAGCATACTCTGGGAACTTGTTAGAAATGCAAACTCTAGTTTACATCCAAGACCCACTAAATTCGTGATCTGTTTTTCTGTTTCTTTTTTTTTTTAACAAGCTCTTTATGTGTTTCTCATGTGCACTCGAGTTGAAGAACCACTGTTAATACAGCATTTTTCTCCCGTCTTTGTCTTTTGCCCTGCTAAATCCTTCTTAGTCAGCTTATATCTTCTTTGAGAAATTTCTATTAATTTCTCATTTCCCAGAGAACCCCCTAATTCCCACGGGTTTAACATTATCCATATACTACATATACCTGTAGATTTCTAGACCCATGAAAAATTCTGATTCAGTTATTTAGGTGGAAATGTGAACCTTAAAATGCCCACACATAATATTTCTGGGAGAATCTGATGATTCAAATTTGTAACCACTTACATAAGTGGTTTTGTTCAGAAGACTAGCTCTGAAGAGGATTAGAGAAAGAGGCCTCAGTGGTACCACTAGGATGACTGGACTATGGGAGGAAAGGTTTCTGTTATTGGTTTATTTGTTTTACAATGAGAGAGTCCTGACTATGCTTATATTCTGAGGTATTAGAACTATCAGAGGTGGAGAGATTTAAGTGAAAGAAGAAGGAGAGTTGGATAGATTCAGAAAAACCTGTGATGAAATAGTAAGGGCTACAGAACACTGATGAAGTATAAAGCAGTAGAGTTATATACCAATTTTCAGGGCCAGGAGGGTAGCAGGTTGAATGGAAGATATAACGTTTTACTGCCAGAATGAAGTCCAGAGATTCTTAGCTGCTTTTATACCTTGATTACAGCCTTCTCAGCATTAATATAGCATTCCTACCTTTCTTGGAGTGGAAAAAAATTGTAAAGATACAAATATTTTTCAAAACAGCTTCTAATACTTTCACAAATAGATTACCAGAAGAAAGAAAAAAAAGGAAAGAAAGGAAGTGAAAGAAAAAAAGTGACAAAGTTGTAAAGAGTCGACTCAATTTTTCTAAAAACTTGTAAGTTCTTCTATGAGTGACATACTCTTGAAGAAAGAGTGAACATGATACTCGGCCAGAGAAAAGATCAATAGATTAGGCTGGAAAATGATTTTCAAAAATTGTACATCAAAAATTTCTCATTTAATTTAAAAGGCAAGCAATGAATTAGGAAAAAAAAGATATTTTCTACTTAAGTGGCCAGTATGGAGTTGTTATTCTAAATATATGGTGTGCTTTAAAAAAGAACATCAATAGTAAACAGATCAACATCTTTTATGGATGTCGGAGTCCTTCTAACAGACGTAGAATAGCATATTTAATATACATATTAAATGATCCCAGGGTTTGTGAGACTTTTATCTACTTCAAGACTTTCTATTTGATTCTTCTGCTTTGCCAGTCTATTCCTGTGTCAGTACCACTGAGCATTGCTTATATTTGCAATTTACTATTTGGAAGGGAATTACCTCCTTCATTTCCTCCCTTTTCAAAAATGTTTAGGGGATTTTTTTCTGTTTATTTTTTCATATTAACTTGGGAATATTTTTGTGGATTAAAAATCTATTGGAATTTTAATTGATGAAATTCAAATGGAGTAAGGATGAAAATCAACTTAATGTTTATAAATAATTGACATATTTCCATTATTTAGCCATATTACTCAGGAGCATACACTATCTTATTCAACTTTGTATTCCTAAATAAGGTTTTATGCCTTTCTTCATTCAGGTATTGTATTTAGTTTCCTAGGTATTTAATTTAATTTTCCCATTTATCACTTTTTAAAATTACAGTGATTGATCTATAAGAAATACACCTATTCCAATATAAAGTCCTATTAGTAACAGAATATCTCATTAAATGGTTTTAATAGTTCTCATGGTAATAGTTCTTATAGTAATGTAATAGTTCTCAGTTATTCTGTTGATTTTAAATTCTGCAATTATAGTACATATAATACTAATTTATTTTCTTATGTAACTAAACTGTGTGGATCTCATAACTAAAAGAAAAAGGGCAGAATTGACAAGGAGACACTTAATAGTATCTAAAACACATCTGTAGTGTTTCATCATTAAATATTTGTATTCTTCATTTCACTTAAGATATATTTTCTAATACTATTAAAATAATATATTTCTATTCTTAGTTTTTAAATAATCTGGAATATTCAATTTTATGTAGTAGTTTCTGAGCATCTATTAAGATGATAATTTCTAAAACTCTTACCAATGAAGTGCTGAAGAAATTTTATAGATTTGCTACAAATTGTCATAGCACAGACTGAATACATCAGTATTATCTAGCCATGATGCATTGCCTTTAATATGCAACTGCATATGATTCTAACATTTTATTTGGGATTATTATATGGTATGGAGATTTTTAAGGAATTTAATACCTAGTGTTATTGTGTTTTGTTTTCATTTTACAAAAGCTAAAAATTGTACTAATTTAAACTCCCACCTGGACTACATAAGAATTTTCAGGTTCAATGCACTTGTATGATCATTACATATTTTACTAATATATTTTAAAGCTTTATGAAAAATTAAATAAAATATCATTAAATTTATTAAAAATTAATAAAGCTTTAAAAGATAGTAGAATATGATATTAGTAAATATTTAATGGGTATATATCTTTTAATTCACATTTTCAAAGTTCTAATGAGGTGAACATTTTTCCTTACATTTCTTAAAAATTTACATTTCCCTTCAAATTCATTTCATTTAAAAATTATTTTGCTTGAATATTAAATATGTCATTTACTACGTGGTTCAAGTGATTGGGTGCTTGCTTATTTATTTTACTGAGTGGCAGTAGTACCACTGTCACCAATAGAAAATTATTGAAGAGGTAATTTCATTATTAGCAAGGCATTAGTGTATTTTAACCTGAATTTACTCATTCACCTCTTTATAGTGAGAAATGCAATTTTATTTTTTCTTAGAGTATATTTGAAATATACAGAGAGATATGTAAATATTTCATCAGTATACAGCTTGATAAATTTTCATAAACTGAACATGGGCATGGAACCAGGAATCAGATTCAGAGCCTGAACATAACCAGCTCCACAGAAGACCCCTTGTGCTTCCAGTGAATAATCATTATTCCGCCTTCTAACAGGTTAGATTAGTTTTGCCCATTTTTATACTTATATTAAATCAAGCACTATTTTACCTTGTTGACATTAAAAGCAAAACCAACATAAAACAATAAACTCTTTGAGTAGCTCAAGAAGGCATTATGCTAAATTATAATCAGGCAGTTTTGTCTTCAGCCAGGCATTTCAACTAAATATTTAGAAGCACATCACTTTGCCACTGAGCCAGGCGAAGTCACAGCTATCAGAGCAAATGCTTAGTTTAAAACAGGGCTTCATACCATGTCTGTGCTCCTGAACTCAGTGTTCTCATTAGTGACTTATAGGTGTAATTAGCTGCGTACCTGCTCTGCTGCTATAAGTGGCCTCCTTGTGCATGCAGTAAAGCTCACTGGCAAATGGAGACAATCAAGGTTTATGAGGCTTGAATATTTGTCCCACCAAATTACAATTTGAGAAGATTATTAAGCACGTGGAATCACTGGGTTTGGACCAAATATATCTGGGATAGTGTTAGTGCTTATTGCTTAATCCATTCTTAAACCGTGAAATGTGACATTTTGATGTGTAGTGGAAACTGTTTCTATAGTTTCTTACCTTTCTCCCTAGTTGAAGGAGTTGCGTAACGGTAGTTTCCCAGGGATATCTGGAGATAAACCTCTTATTTCTACATTCTTCACAGAAGCAGCACTGCTACTTCTACTTACACACCCTGAAACTGAGGTGAAGTCTCTTCCCTTTATGGCGGGTCAAATATATGGCAAAAATGTCAGACTGGGAAGAAAATGGCAGAAAAATGATCATTTGATCATTTTCAAAATGGATGAATGCCTTGAAGTATCAGATAGTTTAGGACACTTGAAAAGAAGGAGAAGGCCGGGCGCGGTGGCTCAAGCCTGTAATCCCAGCACTTTGGGAGGCCGAGACGGGCGGATCACGAGGTCAGGAGATCGAGACCATCCTGGCTAATATGGTGAAACCCCGTCTCTACTAAAAATACAAAAAACTAGCCGGGCGAGGTGGTGGGCGCCTGTAGTCCCAGCTACTCGGGAGGCTGAGACAGGAGAATGGCGTGAACCCGGGAGGCGGAGCTTGCAGTGAGCTGAGATCCGGCCACTGCACCACTCCAGCCTGGGCGACAAAGTGAGACTCCGTCTCAAAAAAAAAAAAAAAAAAAAAAAAAAAAAAAAAGAAAAGAAGGAGAAAAAAACCTGAATAATGAACAGATGTTAAAGATAATCTGTTACTTAAAAATCTAAACTAAATCTGAAAGAAGAAAATGGCAAAGATCTACATTGCTTCGTTAGTGAATACTTCCAAACATTGAAGGTAACTTTTGAGCAAACTTGCAGAATTAGAAAGAGAGGAAACATTTTCTAAATGTCTTACAAAGTCGATTCTAAATATATATATATTTCTCATATATATATCATATATATATCTTTCTCACATATATATCATATCATATATATGTGAGAAAGAAAAATTAGGGATCATCTAGAGAACGCATTTAAGAAGTTGCATCTAGTGTGCTGCTCTAGCAAGGCAAGATTATGGAGTGGAGTGGTTAAGTGCAGAGACACTGGAGCTGGAGGGTCTGAGTTCAAATTCCAAACAGGTGCTTAAGCCTCTATATATCTCAATTACTCTATCGTTAAAATCCTAATAAAGTGATATTTTACTCACAAAACTTTCAGTAAGTTTAAATAGTTCAGAAATATAAATTTCTTAGAACAGTGCCTAGCAAATCATAAACATAATACAAACGTTTGCTATTAGTATTTTTTGTTCAAATCCCTTGTTACACGACTCTGGAAAAGTCAGTGAAATAATCCCAGAGACTCTGTCGCTACCTCAATCAGGAGCATTTTTCTGCAGTCCATAAGTACTTCTGGTAGAACCTCTGTTTCAGGGCGATCACATATGCTCTCATAAGTTGCATATTGCAGAGATCCAGATGGATAAACTACTGTGTGAGTGGCAATGCTGAGCCAGGCAATGCTGAAGCCCTTCTCTACTCTAAATCCTGACCACTCTCTCTATCCCAATACATCTTCATCTTACTTCCTGGAGTCTGTACTGCACCCACCAGCTTAGAAAAACAGATTGGAAAACAGACTGCTTCCCCTGCCTGAATCGACCTTTTGGTCAGCTCTGTCCCATCGCAAGGATACCCTCCATTCCACTGAATGAAAATAAAAGCTTTCAGCATAGACTCTCTCTTTAGGCTCTGTCATGTACAGAAACCTTCTTAAGTCGAGATCCCATGTCTGTCCCATGATAGACAGGCTCTATTCCCTAAGTGAGGAAAAATAACTCTGATGATGACGTGATGTGGAAAAGTAGAACGCAGGAAGTCACAAAACAAGAGACTGGGTTTGAATCCCAGTTTCGCTAACTTATTTTCTAATTTTGGCCTAGTCACTTAACTGATCTCTATAAATAGGGATGGTGATAGCTACTTCTTGAGTTGTTATTATAACAAAACAAAATCAAATTTTAAAGTTCTACAGGAAAAGTGTCCATTTAAATTATAAGAATAAATTATCTACAGGGTGGACTTTATAAAGATTTAGTGATAATATAGAATTAAAGCCTTCGATACAATATCTGGCTTACAGAAAATTCTCTCTCAATTACCAATACCAAAGTTTTATTATAATAGGGCAGAATATGTGGCCCAAATCATAATAAGTAGCTCAAAAGTTTTGGAGGGTTCATATTTCCTTAATATACTTGTATTTATATTTATTTTTTATATTTATATCCATAATAGGATGCAGTTATTTATATCAAACTGAATTTAAATGCATAGCTTTGTATTAAAATGAGGTAAAAACTGAAATATTAAAGCTCTGAGGGGAAATAGTAGATATTTCTGATTGCTATTCATACTCTTTCTATCCAGTAATAATTTTGATAAACTATATTTATGAGAGCTTAATATTTGTAACAGACTCTCTTCTAAGTATCTAAGTGCATGTATGTATATATATGTGTTTGTGTGTGCATTCAGTTCATTTTCACAATAATCCTTAGAGTATTTATTACCACTTTGCCAATGAGAAAATTGAGGCACAGAGAGACTAGTCTGCCCAATGTCACACAGCTCAAAGTTCTAAACAAGTTCTGAGTCCATATGTTTAACGATTTTAGTTCACTAAAGCATTGCTGTCAACCTTATCTATAAACTTCCAGCCATGGTTAATGCTCTACCTACCTCAGGACCCAGGCAAAACTCACCTAATTGATTCACAATCAGTGTTTTGCATTGAGGGTAAAACAGCGACTGCCTGTGAGGAGGATTTTGGCATTTTGATGAAAGATGCCAATGCCAGTCATAGCAAGGATTTTATTGGACTGGGGCAGCTTCTCACAAAACTTTAAAAATAAATTAATCCTGTTTTTGCATTGCATATATAAGTCTTACAGTATATATTCCTTTTGTCTGGCTTCTTTCACTTAACATTATTTTTGTGGGATTTATTCACATTGTAGCTGAGATTCATTTGCTTTCATTGCTATGTAATATTCCATTGTATGAATACACCACAATTTTGTTTATTTTTTTATTATCATGAATAGCAGAGCTATAAATATTCATGTACATATATTTTGGTACATCAATGTGGACATTTTTTCCTATACTTTTTTCTTCCCCTCATTGTACCTAGGAAATCCAATACTTAAAAAAATATATTTAACACATTCAGGTGCTTCTGAGATTCCTGAAGAATCCGATTCCTGAAGAACCTGAAGTTGATGATGAAGAGTTTGGTTGGGAAATTGAGCAGACACCCTATGAAGAGGTATCAGAAAGTGCTTTGAATCTGCAGTGCCACTATGGATTTGGAAACTTACGATTAGGAGTATTTTGGCGGTTACAGGTATGTTGTCTTTCTGAAAGATCTTGGTCTATAGGGTTTTTCTATTTGGATATTTTAATTTCATTTGTGCTTATACTTGATGATTTTTAAAAATAATATCACTGGAGATGATGTATTTAAAGCACTTAGCACAGCTAAAGTACGTAGATGTTCATTTCCTTCCATTTCATTGGCTGTTCTGCCCAGATGTACTGCTCTTACAGATATCCCCTGGCTTTCTATTTTCTTCCCTTTATTCAGTATTCTAGGCATGAAGTTTCCAAAATATAAGACGGAATTCCTCTCTCATACTTCCTGCAAAGCTTTATGTTTTATACTTCTGAAAAGTGTACTTATGGCATGATGTCTTTTCTTTTCTGTATATGAATGAAATAGAATGCTCCTGGTGAGAATGAGATTGTGTGTTTTGATCAAATTGTTTAAATCTTGGTGTACAGTAGGCACCATTACAGTGGTTACCTTGGAGAGCGGGCAAAGTAATGGAAGAATACAGGATGGGGTTCCAGGGTGTTGGAACCCCAGGGTGTTGGAAATGCTCCATTTCTTGACAGAGGTGGTGTTCACTTTACATCAGTGGTCCCCAAACTTTTTGGCACCAGGGACAAGATTTGTGAAAGACAACTTTTCCACAGATCAAAGGGGTGAAAAGATGGTTTTGGGAGATGAAACTGTTCCACCTCAGATCATCAGGCTTTAGGTTCTCATAAGAAGTACACAACCTAGATCCTTCGCAGGCACAGTTCACAATAAGCTTGTGCTCCTATGAGAATCTAATCTGATCTGACAGGAGGCGGAGCTCAGGCAATAATACTCCTGGCCCTCCGCTCACATCCTGCTGTGTGACCAGGCTCCTAACAGGCCATGGATCAGTACTGGTCTGCAACCTGAGAGTTGGGGACCCCTGTTTTATATAACTCACTGAACTGTACACATCATGAGCTCTTAGCTCAAGATGCTAATATTTTGCCAATCACAAAATGCTGTTTCAATTGGTCCAAAAATGTGACTGATCTGGTTCAATAGGATTTTTATGTCTTAATTATATCACCAAAGAAGCTATTTTCATATGACTTCACATGACCACCTTATACCTGAAGTATTTTCTTCAATTTCCAATTCACCATACCCCATTTCCGCCTAGAAACACACAGCATTCCAAATATTTCTGTTTATCTTAATTTCCTCTCAACTGCAATAAACATACCTATTTCTTCCAAAAAAATTTAAAAAATAAGTTAATCCCCACTGTACTTTAGAAAACTGGAGTAAGGATTCATTCTGGCCTCCTTAGATGAAAGGATGTAAAAGAGGAAAGAACATTGTAGGGACACACACCACTCTCACAAAGTGTCCACAGTGAGGTTGTGTAATGAAAATGATCATTAAGTATCGTACAGTGGATATCATATATAATAGTATGTATAAACTGTTAGAACTTGTTTTCAGCATTTTTATAATGGAAGAATTATAGTCTAGACAGCTGAAACATTTATTCCAAGTAAGTAGCAGAACAAAGTTCAATGTACAATATATTGCCTTGTTTTTGCCAGACTCCCACCTAGCTCACTCTATGATCTACATTTTGATTTTTACATAGATGCTCCTAAGCCAGTTCACATGGCTACACACACACACACAAACACATATACACACATACCACACACACTACTTCTTGTTCTTGATCAAGTTGAAAGTTATTTATATAGGACAGTGAGTATTCTCAGACAGTGGATTTCAAAATATTTTGACTGACCCAAAAGCATTTCACACTGGGAGCATGGTAGAGGTGTGTGTGTGTGTGTGTGTGTGTGTGTGTGTGTGGTAGAGAGGTGTGTGTGTGTGTGCGTGTATCTTATTCTGTTGTTGTTGTTCTTTATTTAAGAAAAGGTGATGGTTGAAACTCACCATTAGATAGATTTCAAAATCCACTAATAAGTCTTAGCCTATAGTTTGGAAAACATACATTTAGGAAGTGGTTACAAAGTATTCAAGTGAACATTTTGCCAAGAATGCTGTTTTGTATTATGTTCTGTAAGGCTACTTGGATTCCAGCCCTAGAAAAATCACATGGTTTGTTTGACAAAACTCTGCAAGTAGGAAATTCAACTAAATGTAAGGAACAAAGTTTCTACTTGGTGAAAGTAGGTCAGTTCTGTCCTATATACATTACAGTGGATCTTATTTCTGTATTTTCCAATAAATGACTGATATGCTTAAAGTTTTATTTTTTAACTCAAAATAGGTTGCTCAAGAATGACAGGTATATTAAAGAACATGCCTTGAAGTGCTTATGACTGCCAGCAACAGCATAAAAATAATTTATAGATTTTTGTTAATGCAAAAGCTTTCAGGCACCCTGGGCTCTCTTGAATGGAAATGCTTTTTATCTTTAATTTTATTATTATTATTATTATTATTATTATTATTATTTTGAGACAAAGTCTCACTTTGTCACCAGGCTGGAGTGCAGTGGCATGATCTCGGCTCACTGCAACCTCTGCCTCCTGGGTTCAAGCGGTTCTCCTGCCTCAGCCTCGCGAGTAGCTGGGATTACAGACATGCACTGCCACGCCCAGCTAATTTTTGTATTTTTAGAAAAGACGGGGTTTCACCATGTTGGCCAGGATGATCTCGATCTCCTGACCTCCTGATCTGCCCACCTTGACCTCCCAAAGTGCTGGGATTACAGGAGTGAGCCACCATGCCCGGCCTGCTTTTTAAATTTTTAAGAACATTAAAACGCAACTGTAGTAGAAGAACTCTAGACACAGATTACTTTTCTTTCAGCCTTCATTTACTGTACCTCCATGTTTTCCTGTTCTCTTCCCTTGATCTAGCCAGATAAGGATCCATATTTCATGACTTCCTACGTTTCCCGTGGATTTCTGTGGCTATCCAAGTAGATGAGGCCATAACTCTAGTTGCTGTGAGGATTCTTCAATTTTGTGAGCTCTTTAAAAGCGTGCTATCTTATTTGTATCTGATTCAGAGTTGGTATTATAAAATCTTTTGCTGCTTATATAAAGGTCAAATTTTCTTCTACTATTTTTTTCTACATCTTATTTCCCACATTACCCTTTAATTCCACCTCGTGTATATCTTCGTATGTTGAATATGGGACAGTTTTAATTGACACCCCACCAATGAAAGCTGATTAATTTTTCCAGCATAACACTATGTATTGAATCAATCAATCTTTTTTAAAAGACTTATAATGCCTCCTTTATTACATATTAAGATTTTATATATACTACGATCTCTTGTAAGGCTCTCCTTTGTATCAATCTTTATTTATTTTTGCACTAATATCAAATCATATTAATTATTGAAAATATGTTTAAATATTTGGTAGGGCAAATGGCTTTCTTGTTCTTCATTTTATGCTGGCAATATTTATAGGAAGAAAAACAAATTTGCAAGCAACCAATTTTTCCTAATTAAACACCGAACTCAATTTCTTATTTTGTACACTCATTAACTCAGTAGGCATTGCTCTTGCCCACAACTTTAGACTCCAGTTATTCTGTTGATAAAAATTTTCTCTAAGTTATAGGTAATAGAAACAGACAATGCATTCAGTATATTCATGGTGTTTAGTAATGAGCAAGATGAATTCCATATTCACTCCTATATATGCAATTGGAAAAAAATTAAACACATGAACATGCTGAAATCAGGATAGTAATTGGTCAAGGTTCAGAGAGAGAAAACAGAGAAGATTATCTAGCCTAAAGTGGGAAAGCTTCGATTGAGCAAAAGCCAGGCTTTTATACTCCAGGGATAATTTTGGATCCAGAATAGACAGGAAAATACTTTGGTCAGCAAGAGATTGTCTCAGAACAGACACACAATGGCAAAGAAATAAAACCTAAAGGAAAAAAAAAGGCTTTAGCTAAAACACCAATCGTATAGCGCAGACAGGGACAAATAACACTCTTGCTGAATTGGTGATGTCTTACTAGACCAGAGAATTAACATACAGTTAAGATTCACATGGCAAGGCCCTATAGTAGAAGAGAAAGAAGAGAAGGAAAGCAAAGAGGAGAAATGAAAACAACAACAACAACAACAACAACAACAAACCAGCAGAGATGTGTTGTCACAGTGGTTTCTTGAATACAGGGTTCTTCAATAGTGGAACAGAAGATAGTGGGTGACAAAGAACAAAGACTGAACATTTCTGATTTCAGGGTAATTTGAAGTCAATCTTAATTTCTAAGAGTCTAAATTGAAACCACATAGTAAAACCAAGTAAATCCCTTAGCTCCAATACTTTATTTGGGACTACAAAAATATCACCTTAAAAAACAAATTCTATCAGTGCGTTATCATTTTCCACGTGAACTTCCTGTACATATTTTGTTGCATTTATACCTAATTACTTCATTTTGTTGGATGCCATGGTAAATAATATGTATGTGATTTTTCCAAGTGTTCATTGCTGGTATATAGGAAAGCAATTGACTTTTTAAATATTGTTATGTGACCTTGTTAAACTCAGTTATTTTTTTATTTTTATTTTTTGACGGAGTCTCGCTCTGTCGCCCAGGCTGGAGTGCAGTGGCGGGATCTCGGCTCACTGCAAGCTCCACCTCCCAGGTTCACGCCATTCTCCTGCCTCAGCCTCCCGAGTAGCTGGGACTACAGGCGCCCACAACCGCGCCCCGCTAATTTTTTGTATTTTTAGTAGAGACGGGGTTTCACCATGGTCTCGATCTCCTGACCTTGTGATCCGCCCGCCTCGGCCTCCCAAAGTGCTGGAATTACAGGCGTGAGCCACCGCGCCCGGCTAAACTCAGTTATTAATTCCAATAGACTCTTCTAGATTCTTTTGGATTATATACATATATAATAATGTTTTCTTCTAATAGAGTCAGTTTTATTTTAATTCTTCTAATCCTTATGACTCTTACTTCTTCTGTTTCTTTTTTCTCTCCTTATTTCAATGATGATGGCATCCAGTACAACAATAAGTAGGTGTGTTAAGAACTGATATCCTG